TCTTGGTGACTTCTCCATTGCCAATAATGCGTACTGCGCGGCGCTGCAATCTATCCAAAGCATCGAGTAAGTACCTAGCGGAGCCATCCCAAAGGTGCGAGCAATACTCCACGCATGACCGGACCTGCGTTTTGTATAGCAGGCACAGTTGTTCGGGCGTGAAAAAACGCCGCACCTTATTCAGGACACCGAGTTTACGAGATGCTGTTTTAATAACAGACTCGATGTGGTTTTTGGGATTCAGATCACAGCGCATTTCCATCCCGAGCATGTTGATGCTGCTCTGTAGAGGCAAGGTTGTGCCCTGAAGAGAGGGAAGGGAAGGGAATGGAGGGGTCTTGGCGGTAAATACGCAAACCTGAGTTTTCTTGGCATTGCACTCAACCAGATTTTAAGCACCCCATTTCGATATGAGATCCAGAACGTGATTGAGCTCAATGACAAGATTCTCCCTTTTGTGGATGCACTTTGGTGGATATCAAGCAGTGGTCGGAATTGCCCAGTGGGGCACAAACATCAACCTGATAACCGACGGGATGGCTCGTAAGCAGAAGGTCCAGTAAGGAAGGCGTTTGACCGACTATGTCTGGGATCCTGGTGGGCTGATCGACCATTTGAGTCAAGTTATGCGTGAGAGCGAATGCGTGGGCTGATCTCCCCGCATGGTCCGTCTTGGAGGAACTTAACCACGATTCATGGTGAGCGTTGAAGTCCCCCAAGAAAACCAGTTCTGCGTTAGGATACTGCTCCTGCGCGTAATCTGCCGCCCGACTGAGGTGGTCATAAAGTCGAGTTGTCTCCGCATCGCCAGTGTGGGATCTGTAGAGGCACACATAGACTCGAGTCTGATGACCTAAGTCTATATGCACCGCTAGGAGGGAAAAGGAAGGGTCTTCTAGGCAGCGCAATCGGTGACAGCAAACATCCGCCCGGACAAACAAGCATACACCGGCTTTCGCTTTGAAGGACTCTTCAAGTGCGTAGCCGGGATAGTGAAGGTAGCTTGTATCGGCCGGGCGGAGAATTTGCGTCTCCGTCAGAAACAACATTGCAGGCCGTGCTGTCTCTAGGTGTTGGTGGACAGCATTGAGGTTGGCATGGAGTCCCCGTATATTAGAGAACTCAACCTCAAACAGCGAAGGCGTGGGGTTGTGCACCGCTGTACGACCAGAACGTGTTGCTGTGGCTGCCATAAGGATAAGGGGTGAGGAGACGTGAAGCGGGAGGCCATTGTCGCGACTGCTCCAGTCAAAAATATGCGCCTGTTTCTCCAGGTGTTGCCCACAGAGGAGTAGCACCGATCCGCCAGACGGAAGGGCCCCCGCACCCCCCCGGGAGTGGCCGCCGGGACCCACGCTCCGGTCACCAACCGGCACGACGGTCCACCCCAAGATTATGCGTGGCATGATAGGGCAGCCTCACGAGCTGGTTAGGCACGCTTGGGCCTCTGTACTGTACCACGGGCGGCCAGCGGTCAGCCGTTTCTACGGGTCTCCCTGGCTGGCGGGTCGATGCAGTCCTCCTGGCACTGGTTCGACGGAGGCACCCACCGGACCGAAACAGTCGCGGCAATGTCGTCCCGAGTTCTGGTTCTACGTTGGCTGATCCCGAAAAGCGCTCTACGAGCGCGCACTTCACGGGTTTTTCACCATGTGTGTACGGTGGTAACTAACTAGGCGGGATTAAACCCTACCACCAGTTGCGAGCAGATCTGAGCTCGAATTCCTTTAGTCGCCTCTTACGACACCCACAGGAAAGGAAGGGGCGGTAAGTTATGTATTCTTTCTCCGTCACCGCACGGATAAACTGTCGGTTGACGAGAAAGAACGAATAAGTAAAATGCATTGAGATACAAAATAATTAATTAGAATATAAGTAGGAAGCCAGAGCGATTAATAAAAAATACTTTAAATAGATTTGGCTGTATGGGTCAGACCCTTTGTTTAAGATAAAAGTAAAAAAAGTGTTCTATTATACTGACATAACAATGACGTGACGATAAATTAACAAACACAAAACTAGAAATGTTTGCATTAGTATTAACTATAAGAAAAATAAACAAGAAATCTGTTAATTATACTAAAACAATATATGATAATAAAACAATTAAAGGGCCTACCAGTAAAACAAGAGTAACTTTTTCGCCCTGGCTAACCGTTTAGGTTTCGCGCGTGTTTCTGGAGAAACCAAGGTCCGCGTCACGAAGTCAGGATCAGCCGCCTGGAGAAGTTCATCCTCGGTTACCGGAAGCGCAGAGAGGTCACAGTCGGTGAATATTCTCTGCCTGGAACCGTTCTTCAGCTTGACAATGACGTTACCATCCATCGTCCAGCAGCGTCTTATACCGAAGCGCTTACGTGCGTTAATGAAGACGTCTCGTCGCTGGCGTGTAAGGAATTCGGAGATGGTATGAGGTGTTCCCTTTAAAGCTGTCATCTTTTTCCATACAGCAGCCCTTAAAGTTAGATCTGTGAAGCGCACCAGGACAGGTCGACATCTCCCCTCCGCCGCATTACCAAGTCGATGGCATGCAGACAGCTTGTCCTGTGACAAAGCCAGCCCCATTTTGTTGACGAAAATAGAGACAATACTTTTTGGAAGGTCATTGGAATCCTCTGCAACGCCACCCACCAACAAGTACTTCCTTCGATGTCTCATTTCGATGTCATCTATGCATCTGCAGAGCCCAGAAATTTGATAACGAAGAAGCTGTAACACTGATAATGTCTCTGTTTTGAATTCCTGGAATTCTTCCTGCAAACGAGCATGTGATCCATCAGCCTGTGCAGGGGTTACTTTCCACCGTTGTTCCAACTCGTTCATTTTCTTAAACAATTTAGTTTCAAGAGCGTGTTGTGTCTCCAAAACTGATGCGATATTTGCCATTTCTAATATATCCGTTGAGGTGAAAGTGAGTGACCGACAGGACAGTACTTCAAAACACAACTAATCCCACATATATCACACAGATAACACTAGATAGTGATTGGTGTCTAACATACTATAGAATAACGTTATTTATTATTAAATGGAGCAATTGTAAGTATTTTTCAGATTTTTTTTTTATAGGAGAACAATCTTAATGCTTTTTACACCTACCGCCGAATTAAAATTTTAGTTTAGTAGTAATTACCTGATTACAATAGTTTTTTGTTGTGTAATATCTAGTTACACTTAATTAATTCAATTAATTAACTGAAAGGCTTTCATCGAATGTAGTCTGTTTCATCTTTCACGGATATTTACTACTTAATTAGTTAAGTACTTACGTACGGGATATCCTTCGTGTTGAAGGCTTTGGATGAGCTGATATTTAATATATTGTATTTGTATGTTATACTCTCATCATTATTTCTTTTTTTATTTGATATAGTTTGTTAGGAAATTTTGATTCTGTTGTTAGGGTTCATTTCATAGTTCTAAATTATATAAAGACTGTAGGGACACATATGCCTACATGTACATGCACAGTTTAGTTGTAAGATGCTTATAAACAATTTGTTAGCGTCTGTAGAACAAAGACTTTTTAACTAGTCGCTAATATACGGAGTTACAGAGTGAACGTGTTTTCTTATTTAACCTTCTGATAACATAAATAGGGTCCGACACTTAATACCCTAAAGTGGTGACCCCGACGTGATTTAGCACCGCAATAGTGTATCTTTTAAATTATTGAATATATTACAGTACTACAGAGAATTTCAAAACTTGTCACGACGTTATGTGACCAACCGGCACCGCGCTCAGTTCTGTATTAACTCAAATGCATACGATGTGAATAAAATATGTCTCAACATCATTGTAAGCTATAACATAATAATTATATCTATTGTTCAGAACCATTTCTATGAAACACTTTAAGCTACAAATAAATACAGATCATATTATAGGCGCTGCAGCCCAAGTAGCACAAAACACCATTACATCAAACTTATAATAGCACGAGTCCAAGCGTTAAGCATTATAATAAAATCGTATATCAACCGTATTTCTTTTAAACGACTCTTATACATAATTTATAACATAATAACTGATAACATAATTATGACTATTACTGTTCATAATTATGACTATTACTGTTCTAATTATGACTATTACTGTTAAGACTATTACTGTTTGAGTTTTAATTTATTGTCGCATTGTCGTATCCACATTGTGTATGTTGTGTTCGACTTAATTTGGAGCTTAATGAATGTAGTTGAAGAAATATTTATCTACAATTTTTTTTTATTCAGGTACGTAATGGCATTTACGGGTCCTATTTGGGAATACTTTTCAAAAAACAATGATATTGATAAAGCAACTTGTAAAATATGTAACAAGTCTTTGTCTCTTGGTAGTGCCTTACCAAAAAAACAAACTACAACTAATATTAAGAATCATTTGGCAAAACTTCATGAAAGTGAATGGGCAGCTTATTGTAAGATAAATGAAGATCGCCAGAGCTTGATGAAAAAAAAGTCGGAGTCTCATGACTCTTCGCTAAATAAAAAGAAAGACAAAAACAATGTCAAACTACTTTACCAGAAATCATTGAAAAAAAAGTAGCACCACCGTGGCCTGATAATCATCCTATATCATTACGTATCGATAAAAGTATTATGGACTTCATAATCGTCGACATGCTGCCATACAACCTTGTTGAAGGAAAAGCATTTCAAAGGCTCCATCTGAATGACCCTGACATTCCGTCCAGATATAGGAAAAAGTCTGAGAAATACTTTAGAACGACTTTAATGCCGCTGACGTACGAAAAAGTAAAAGATAAAGTCGTACTTCTTCTACAAAAAGCTGAATGGGTCAGTTTTACTACTGACATTTGAAGTAATCCAGCAAAGACCTGTTCTTTGTTAAGTTGCTCAGCCCACTTCATTAATGGTCCAAAAAGAGAAAAAGTTATACTAGCAGCTAGTGTCCTGGAAGAAGATCATACAGGCCAGTATATTTCAGCGAAACTTAACGAAATTATTGCTGAATTTAATATAACAACAAAAGTCCACATGGTTGTCCGCGACAATGCTTACAATATGCAGACGGCTATGCGTTGTGGTAACTTTCTGTCTATTGGATGTGTAGCTCATACGCTCCAGCTTGTTATTCATGATGTTATATTCAAAGACGCTGCTTCTATGAATTTGATAAAGAAATGTCGCAAAGTCGTTGGTCATTTTAAAAGAAGCGAACAAGCTTCTCGATATTTAGAAAGGTTTCAAGAAACATGCGGCTTACTCAGACACGTTTTGATTCAAGATATCGAAACCCGGTGGAACAGCACTTATTTAATGTTAGAAAGACTCTTAGAACAAAAAACTGCAATCAACTTATATATGGCAGAACGCGGTGGAATAGAAGTCCCAACTGCCGAAGAATGGGAACAAATAAACTATTATATAGCAATACTCAGGTGCTTTTATCAAGCCACACTTGATATTTCGAGCGATTCTTCTTCGATATCTTTGATAATACCATTAATCGTCATGCTTAATTCAAAGATGACTACAAAAGATGAAGATCCTGAAAAAGTAATACTGCTGAAGATCCAGTTACGTAATTCTATTCACAGGAGATTTTCTTACTTAAAAAATACTCCACATTTAATGATTGCCACTTTAATAGATCCCCGATTTAAATCGAAGTATTTCACCAACGATGAAACTGAAAATACAAAGACTGAAATATTATCATTTCTACGACAAACTGGGTCTCGGTCACGATCAGCAGCTATTATGGACGTAGATGTTGATGAACCTAGACCTTCTTGTTCAAATTCAGATCCAGCTACCGAAGGGGTATTCACAAAAAAAAAAGATGATGACTTGTGGGATTCGCATGATAATCTTGCATCATCTGTCACAATTACAAGTGAAAATGAGTTGGGTTTGGATCATCCTGGTCCCCCTTTTCAAGAGCATCTTACATGTTTTTTAAAAGAACCATTACTTCTGAGGAATGCTGACATTTATGAATATTGGTCTTCTAGTCCTTATACTTATCTACGGCCAATTGCAATTAAATACTTATCTGCTCCTCCCAGCAGTGTTCCTAGTGAGCAATTGTTCTGTGCTGCTGGTCGAATATATGCGGACAGACGATCTAACTTGATTGGTGAAAATGTAGATAAATTATTATTTTTAGCATACAACATAAGGCTGTTTAACTTTGATTACTAATACATATTTTTAATTAATACATATCGTCAATGAACGAAGAATTTTGATGATTACTATGTGATTTTTATTGTAATCAATGTAGCTTTAGTTAAAAAGTTCTTGAGAGAGAAGGGTAAGTACAAATATGCTTCGTAAAATAGAATATTTTATTATTCTTCTAACTTGTTGTTTGCAAAACAGTCATTACCTCATTAGTTTGATGATTAGTTCTATTGTTATTGTTACATTTATTTTGTACTTTCTATTTTTTTCTAAACTGTGCATTCAATTGATGAACATGTAATTATTTATTAAGAAGTTAGTGTTTGTTTATTTTATTTATTAGTCTAGTTTCGGTCTAGTCGAGTAAAACAAAGACTGATTGATTGGTCTAATTGTAATTTGTGAATTACTTAATAAAGAAATGATTGTTTTTTACAAATAAATAACAAAATCACGAACTTTTATTACCATCTCTAAATCAACTTCTATATCATAATTCTATTCTATGAGACAGTCAATATAAACCTTCAATATTGAAGTTTTAAAATGATTTTAATATTAATTGTAGCTTGTAGATAAAATTGAATACAATTAATTACTGAGAATTTATAAACCTTCGGCTTCGGCTTCGGCTTCGGCCAAAAATAGACCTTCGGTCGGACACTATTCCTAACTAAGGTACCCACTACATCTTTCAGTAATTTTTTTTCTTCTCATTCCTATAATAACGAAAATTAAAGGTGGTTTATCACGTTGGCGCCATTTTGATGTAATGACCAGTAATTTTCTTTTCTGTTTTTGCATACCTTACAAAGTTTTAGTTCTATGTTGCTATTAATTTTAGTATAGTTTTAGGGCAAGCAAAACAAAAAATTTATTATATGATATTTTGAAATAATACTATGGATTGAAATTTAAACTTTAAATTTAATTTGAATATTTGGAAATTAAAGTTAGTTAAGATTTTTGTTATAAACAGAGTTCAATTTGTTTTAGATAAATAAAATGGAGCGTAAATGATCGTAAATGATCTTCAATCTAGTTCGGCTATATAAGCCGAACTAGATGAAATTAGAATTGATTGGGTCAAAATTAAAGGGAGCCAATCAGAAATTCGAAACTATTGCAGTCAAACATCATCACCTGACGTTGATGAGGTTAGTCAGTATACGTCCACCAAAATTCAAGCTCAAGATCTTGTTGCCGAGATAGAATATCGAGTCAGGCGAAACATCAGAAACCAAAGTACTGTCGCTCCAAGCATACATTACATCAGTAGTAAATTACTACGGATTGAGTTAGCCAGATTTGATGGTGATGTTCTAAAATGGCACCGATTTTGGGACCAGTTTTCTTCTAATGTAGATAGTAGGAATATCAATGACGTTGACAAACTACTGTACCTTCAGTCGGTTCTCGACGGTGACGCGAAGCAGACTATTGAAGGACTAGACACAACCAATAAAAATTACATATAGCTGTGAATACTCTCAAAGATAGATACGGGAAACCTTCAGCTATTATTGACGCACATTATGTTGCCCTCTATAGGATAAAAACGCCATCAACAAACCAGGTTAAAGAATGTAGACAGGTTCTTAGTGAAATCGAAAGACATCTTAGGGTGTTGAGTGCCTTAGGGGAAGATGTCAATCACAATCATCTCAGAGTTATGATCATGGAAAAATTTCCTGTGGATCTGATTTATGAATTACGAATGAAGTTGTCAGGGGTAGAGGAAACGATTGATAGCATTAGAAAGTTTTTAGAATACATTATATCTGCTAGAGAGACTTCAAATAGACTGAAAAAGGACACAGTTAGTTTGGACACAAATTCTAATAACGGCAAACAAGGTACAGATCAATTTACGTTAGGTTCCTTACACGTTAGAGCAGAAGAAATTAGAGACAATAACAAACACAGGCGATTTACAAAATTTAGTAAAGGTAGACCTAAAATAAGTTATATTTACAAAATTTAGTAAAGGTAGACCTAAAATATTACAATAAATTTAATCAATCAGGGACTCGTAAATGGCTTCATGAACTCTCTGATAGGACCGATGAGCCACTTAAGAAAATATTCTAGACATAGGTGTATATTCTGTCAACAGAGTCAATTTAATGATGAGTGTACAAAATATAAATCCCTTAAAGAACGTAAATCCCAATTAAGGAACCGCTGTTATATTTGTTTTTTTGATGGTCATAAATCTGCAAAATGCCGCTTAAAAAAGAAATGTAGGCACTGTGACAAAGTTGGCAATCATAATAGAGCCTTAGGTACTATAAAGTTTGCGCAGAGTGCAGATTCAGAGCAAACGACTTTACATGTTCAAACACAAATAAATACGACGTTTTTACAGACGTGCGTGGTAAAAGTTAGAAAGTTTGACTACAGTGCAGGATTTTATTAGATTGTGGTAGCCAGCGCTCTTATATCACCAAGTCAGTTGCTGAGTATCTAAACTTACCCATCGTGGAAAAGTCAAACTTATCAATATTTACTTTCGGTGCTAAGTTGCCGAATCAGATAGAAAGTATAATAGTCAATTTTTGTATGGTAACCCGAACTGGAATTTTACGTTAAATACACGCTAATGTTGTCCCACATATCACGAACGGTCTCCGAGCGCCGATCTTTCACAACTCAACTAAAATGCAAAGTAATATTGAATTAAAAAAATCTTATATTTGCAGATGATGCATCATGTGGCGATAAAATAGATATTCTAATTGGTAACGATTATTATCACTCGTTAATTTCACAAGAGATAATTGCAATCACGGATGATTAATTCTTAGTAAATACAGATTTTGGTTGGGTTTCGTCGGAAAGAATCAGCGAAAGAGTTGACAATTCGGATGAATTATCGGTTTTGACGTGTTTTCAATCAAATATGATTACAAGTTTAATGCACCTGATCTTCCGTTAAAATTTGACAATGTTAAAGTATTGTGGAATCTTGAGTCTATCGGTATCACAGATTCTACAAAAACAACTCGTGACGAAGAGGCGGTAAAACAATATAATGTTCAGTATAAGCATCATCGATATTATGTGCAGTGGCCATGGACCGAATTTCCTCCAGACCTTCCTAATAACTTAGGATTAACATGGGGATTCTTATGCCGAGGTGATTCAAGAACAGCTAAGAACCGGTATTATAGAAGTAGTATTAGATCCAAAGGTTCCACGATCTCATCCGGTTCATTATCTCCCGCATCAATGCGTGCTTAGCGCAATGAATGTTTATACCGCGGACCACTAATGCTAGAGGACCTTACTGGGTTGCTCATTAAATTTAAACAACATCCGATAGGTATAGTTGCAGACGTTGAGATAGCTTTTTTACAATTAGGTCTTCAATTACCTGATAGAGACGTGACACGATTACTCTGGCTCAAAGACAAAAATCGTGGTTCTAATCCAGATAAATTCTTACACTTTCGCTTTTGTCGTGTTCCATTCGGTGTTATTGCCAGCCCCCTTTTTACTTAATGCTACGATCAGGTATCATTTGGCACAATCTAATAATGTTCTTATGAAACAATTAGCAGAAGATATATATGTATCGTAACTGGCGCACAAACAACTTCAGATGCTCTTAAATTGTTCAAAATTTCTAAAAAATCGTTTGATAGTTTATCAATGAATTTGCGTGAATGGAACTCCGATTCGAAAGAAATGCTTTCTGAAATACCAGACAATCTAAAAGAATATGAGTGTAAACGAATTAGGTTTATTATGGAATGTAGATAGTGATACTTTGCGATTAAACACAAATTTAGATGATACTAAATTACATTTGGTTTGAACAAAACGAGATGTATTAAAAGTTATCGCATCTTTTTACGATCCGTGCGGACGTGCAGTCCCAGTATTACTTCCAGCAAAACTATTCTTTCAAAAATTATGGAAAAATAAGGCTAAATGGGATATAATTTTAAATAACGATTTACTTATTGAATGGCATCAAATAGCATCATATTTTTCATTACTAAAAAACATAAAAGTTAATCGGTATTACGGTCGAAGTTTACAAACAGTTAGTAGTCACAATAGTGATATGAACTACATTGCTTTGCTGATTCCTCTATGGATGCATATGCTGCCGTCATTCATTTGCGTATTCCTTTAAACACTAATAATATTGTCAGTTTTGTTATTGGCAAATCAAGATTAGTGCCTTTAAAAGACCGAAATAATTTACAAATTCGTAGACTAGAATTGCTGGGAGTATTAATCGGGTGCAGACTTATTAAATACGTGATAAAGTTCTTACGTTTGAAGGTCGAAGCATAGTTTTTGAGGACTGATAGCCAAATAGTCTTGATTGGTGTAGATCTGAAAAACTACTTCCACCTTTTATTTCACGTCGAATTAGTGAAATTAAACAACAAAAATTATTGCAAACCAACCAAGCTTAATTCTGCGGATATTGGCACGCGGAAAGAGAGAGTAGAATCTTATGATAAGTGGCTCAAAGGTCCTGATTTTTTTGGAGAAAGACTCGAGTCTATGGATAACTAAACAAAATTTAATTGATACAATACAGACTCAAATTTCTTTGTCGGGGGAGGGTCTCTTGAATATAACAGAAGGAAATGTAACCAACTTAGACTTAGAAATGACTGAACCTCTAATAGATGGCAATATAGACGATAACATAATTAAAAGAATTTTAGAAGTTCAGGGAGAACATTTCCCAAGAGAAGTTGAGGGTACTTTTACAGATTTGTCGCGATCACTAAAATTATATAAAGATCAGAATGGGATAATTAGATGTAAAGGTCGATTCAGGTACACAGAAATGACACATGACCAGAAGGAACCCATTCTGCTTCCAAAGAATTCAGAATTTTCTCACAGGGTTATAACTGAATTACACCAGAAAAATTACCATGTGGAAGTTTCATTAACATACATTAACATTATTAAGGCAAAAGTATTGGGTTCCTCAAGGACGATCCACTGTTCAAAAAATTATAAAGAAGTGTCTACAGTGTGTGAAA